ATCCAGCGCAGAATCAATAAACACATATCGCGATATACTGAGCTTTGAGTCAAGGGAGGACGCTAGTATATGTCCTCCAGTGACCCTTAGGAGAACTCTGGGGAAAAACACTTACCCCATAGTTCTCTTTTAACAAGCCAAGGCAACATAATGCACAACATAAGACACACACACAATGCTGCCATAGCCATGGGAATCAATTCACAACATCGCATTATATATACTCTACCTCCCAACTTTAGAATATAACATGAGCACAAAGATAAAATTTGGCATGTGTAGCATTCCACAGTGAGTAATGGGTGTAAATTTATTGCGCTGAATATTCAACGTGGCATTAAAAGGTTCTCACACTATACATTGCACACACATACATGCATACATGTCATCACTGGGTGTCTGCACTTCTCTATGCAATGTAGGCAAATCATGGCTGGTGGGAGGGGGGGGCTATGTCAGTCCAGGGGAGTGTGAAAAAGATACTGTTTTAAATTGTTGTGTTGTTCATTTATTGATGCATAGCGTCACATATATCAGATTGCCAACGATTTGGGGCCATGCAGGGTCCCTTTTTCAGGGAGACAAAGTGACTAGGTCACGATTTAACCATTTAAAACTATGGGGATTATTCACGACGGGGCCGAAGGATCCAGCCGTAGCTTCAGCTGATCCTTCATCTCGCTTTGGCCGCCTGAGTCCTTTGGTTCAGTCGAACCAAAGGGCTGCTGTACGAAGCCAAAGTAACAGCTAAAGCGTAGAGAAAGGTCTGCCAAAGCTGACCGATCGCCACGCAAATGACAGCTGGGCATCTCACGACTGGCTCCGCCCAGTTGTAATGACAGATCAGCGTCCCCAAATGACCTGGGGACGCTGATCTGTCATTAAACAATAACAACTAGGCAGAGCCATGACGTCAGTTATTGGTCGGGACCTGCTAGAAGACTCAGGCAGGTGCCAGCCAACAGGAAACAGCCCAATTGTTTTTTATTTTGCCGGCATCTGTCAGATTTGCCATTATGCAGCGGGAGTTCGTCATGTGCTGTCAGGTCGGTGTGTGTCATTTTTTTTTATACTTCTTTTTTCTTTAAAATATTTTAATTTTTCTTACATTTTCCTATTTTTTTAATATTCAAAAAAATTTCCCCCCGTCATTTCACTTTTTTTATATTCTGCTCGCTACCGAGCAGGTACCGAGCAGAATTCGGCTATTCACTTACTGCCGTTTGGCCCCTATGAAAACAGGGGTGAACCGCAGCGAGTGAGTTGCCGGAGCTTCGGCTCAGCCGATCCAGATGTTGGGAGTCGAACTCCTTCTGCACTTCGGCCCGAACATCCACACAGTTTAGCGTAGATGGAGGAATCTGTTGCACTTTTTCCATCTGATCATAGAAAATCTGCAGATCACCTATAGGTGCATGGCCAGCTTTAGTCAATTCAGTCCAGGAGAGGAGCCGGTACAACTGTGCTAGACTCAAGGGAAGGCCGGGTTCAACTTAAATCTTAAATAAAAATGTAAAATGCTGAGTGACTCATAATGTGGTGACAATCATGTAGCAGAAGTCTTATCTCCAGGAAAAAGATCATTGTGAAAACTGCTACACAAAGTGTTACAAAGATAAAACTCGTTATCATGCAGGTTCCTGTATAATGAGGGGTTGCTTTCTTCAGTAAGTTGGTTTCTTCCCTATGTAATAGCAATAAGTTGGCCTGGACAGGAAAGGGGATAACACCCCGTTCATCAAGGGGTTAAAGTGGCTCCATTAAAATTTAGATGTTGTGTTTTTACTTCCCTTTTGTTCTCTTAAATATAGCATTGAATGTGTTTTGTTATATCTGTTCAACAGATCCACAAGAATACCCGTTGATCCTGCCAGAAATCCAGTGATCTCAAGTAGTGTTATCAGCCATGTTCAGTTCTCCTCTGTGAACTACAGAACACCTCCCCTTATGTTCTGCAGGTGAGGAGTGGAGGAGGAATTCTTTAGTTTAAACAAACTTGTGCTCCTAGGGTAGCTAGGGTAACAACGCTGCTCCTTTAGAGATACTGTATATAGTAAACTCTGTTATAAGGAATTCAACTAATATGACTCTGCTGATATGCAGCATGTATTATCCTGGAAACGATTGTGTGTCTATTTGTCTTAATTTGCTTTTGATTACTGCATTTCAATATTAATATGAAGTCAATAAAGAGTTTATGGTATAGTATGGGGTACAGTGTGGGGGTGTAGTATGAAGTGTAGTATGGGGTGTAGTATTGGGTTGTAGTATGGTATTAGTTAGACCTATTTTTAGGTTCAATAAGTTTTTATTAAGAAAGGTTTTTCAAAGAAATTACAGTACAGTCGGGAGATCATACATCTTGAACTTACAAACTGTGAGGTGTAAAGGCAATCTTAGTAAGTTAGACCTATTTTTAATAGTAACTCTCAAGCAACCAGAAACTACATTTTAATCCGGAATCTACCAATCCCCGGCATGCCGGATAACAGGGAGTTTACTGTATTTAGATTTATATCTTGAGTAAGGGCTTGTTCACACCAATTGCGTTGCGTTCCAGAGTGGGAGCTGCTGTAACGCACCGCAATTGCTCACAAAACTTTGCCCCTCATTCTGGGGCGGGAGGGGGCGTGGCTGTGCATTAAAGTCAATGCACCGCAGCCTTGACCCCCAGTGCGATCAGACGCGTGGCAAATCATTGCCTACGTTCTGTTCCACTGCAAACGCAAAAAAGATGCTGCATGCTCTATTTTTTGCATTTGCAGTGGAACGGAACGCAGACAATGTTTTGTCACGCGTCCTATCACACTGCGGGGGGAGGGGGCACCACCACGCCCCCTCCCGCCCCAGAACGAAGGGCGAACTTTTGTGAGCGATTGCGGTGCATTCCAGCAGCACCCGCTCTGGAACGTTGGAACGCAACGCAATTGGTGTGAACAAGCCCTAAGCATTGCCATCCTAGGACAGGAAGTGTGTGAGCAGCAGGATCACCAGGTGAAAAAAAGGGAACAAATAGCAGTCCTCCTGTGCAATGAAAATACAGGAAAGTCATATATAGACAAATTAAAAGGCAAATAAATGCACGCACAGTTATAAAAGAATGTGCATTTATTGTTTTTTGGTTTTTTTTTGTATTGGAGCCCGTAAGAAGAAATAGCGATAGGAAAATGTGAGCTAAAGCACAGAAGGATACCAAAAACACAAAAGCTTTCCAGTAACAGCCCAAAGGAGACATAAAAAAAGTCATCACATTTAAAAAAATAAATCTAGCCAAAATGTAACGCTGGAGCCCCCAGCTCTGCAAATCTCCCGGGAACCCGAAGCCGACTCTCTGCGCTTGATCTCTGCTGATGACTTTCTCTTTCAAACAATTTATTAAGAAATTTCCAAGGAAGACTTTAAATTGTAAAAGAAATCTTTTACAATGTACAATCTTGTCACCATGCAATTTGTACAAAAATAACAATAGTTTGCAAATGATTTTGAACAGCGGAATTTAAAGCGGAACTCTGGTGAACACTTTTCCTGGTCCTTGCAGTGGGACTACCCCTGCGCTACAAGGTATACTCGATTCTCAGAGCTCATCTGCTCTTAGACCGATCCCTTTCACCACACTCCTTCTCCGCTGCAGTGGTTTAATGATCTTTGAGTCATCATTTTCTATACACTGCGTATAGGACGTGAGGACGCCGAGGGACATACAATCACAGACAGAAGAGACCGACCTAAGAGCAAGCCGGCTCCGAGGTTTGGGTGAGTCTAACTTTGCTATTTTTTAACCTAGACACAAATGAGCACTTAACCCTTGCTGTGCGGGGGTAGACCCACTGCAAGGGTTAATAAAGATTTGGTCCAAAGTTATTTAAGCTGATTTTTTTAAATTGCTTGCAGCAGGGGTTTTATAACAGAAGGGACTCTGCATGCCTCTTATACACACAATCTCTTAGCCTGCTTGGTAATAACTTTTTGCAGGCTGGACACTGACGGCGCAGCTCAGTGTACAATTCCGGAATCTTACAGTAAGCGATGTATGCCAGAATAAAAAAAACTCCTGTACACAAGCACGGGAGTTACATGATCCCATTGTGGCCAATCAAAATGCTCGAAGACTTCAGACCGAAAAGAAGACTATGAGAAGGAGAGTGACTAGGGGGAGTGTGGGCATCACTTGGCTGAAGAGGAGCACTTTGAAAAGCATGTGTGCCATACACATTATGGCAAAAGCTCCTGAGAGCCAAAAGGTTAGTTCTGCTTTAAAGCAGAACTCCAGGCACAAATGTTATTAACCCTTGCAGTGGGGCTATCCCACACTACAAGAGTTAACTGCTAATTTTTTTCTGGGTTCAAAAAAAATACTCACCCAATCCTCGAAGCGGGCCAGCTGTCACAGCACTTCCTCCTGCCTATCTCCTATGCTGCAGTGATGGTATGTCCCTCGGCATCCTCACGTCCTACACTGTGTATGGAATGTGATGACTCACAGGACCTTAGACCACTGGAGCAGAGGAGGAGAGAGACGGAAGCAACTGGTCCAAGAGCAAGCCGGCTCCGAGCATCAGGATCAGGAAAATATGTAACATCGACAAGATGAATTGTCAGTTTTAGGAGAAATCAACAGTAGGGATGAGCTCAAGTTGGGGCCACCGAACCTGGTCCGAACTTGAGCTCATCTGAACACAAAAGCAACATGGGTCTCTTGCCCCACAGCTGCATGCAAACAAAGGGGTGGGATGCTTGTGCTGACATCAATAACCTTATATGGACACATGGCCATATCAGGTAAATGTAATTCATGTAGTGTAGCCATATAAGGTCACTGCATCCCGCCCCTTTGCTTACGTCAAGCTGTGGGCATTTAATTCCCAACCCGCAGGGCATTGGGTGGCACAGAAGGAGCTCCTTCCAGGTTCAGAGGATCTCAGGTTTGGACCGGGTTCGCTCTGAATCTGACCTCATCTCTAATCAACAAATATGCAACCCATCCGGAGAAATTTACACACCTTGACTCATCTGAGGTTCCCGTTTCACTCTCTGAGCTCTCGGACGTATACCTGTCTCCATCGTCATTCTGTTCCGCAGACCGTTGATCAGCGCTGAGTAACTTATAATCCATCCATATCTCCCACAGCAAGTCTTCTAAATTCTGAACTTTTGCTGTTTTTAACGTACGCTTCTTAATGTTTTGCACAGAAAACCGTGGGTTGACTCTAACAGGCGCTGTGCTAGATTTCCTCCGACTGTCCTTCTTTCTCTTGTTAGGTAAGGCCTGAATGGAAGCCATTCTCTGCGTGAGCAGTCCCAAAGACGGTCCACCAACTCCTGACTTGCGTCTGACTTTAGAAGCCGCCAAAATCGTTCTCCGTTCTGGTTCAGGTGGGTGAGACTTGCCAAAATGTCGATGAAAAAAGTTCTCCATAGTTGACAGTGCAATAGGTTAGGAAACCCAAAAACCTTTTGGTCTAGAACTTAAGATGTATAAAAGGAAAGCAGCATTGGTTACTCCTGCTGTCGGTGGTTGACTAGCTGACCAAAGTGGTTTAATAAATGCGTTGAGGAACTTTTTATACTTCAGAATAAATTAGGCACCTTTCTGGTGTACAAAAACCTCCCTTCTCCTTTGCCTCACTAGTTCAAATTCTCATCACAAATTCTCTGCTGTGCAACCAGAACAATATGCAACTTGTAGTCTTAAAGTATAGAACGTGCAGAAAACTCGACTGCTTGAAATCAAATTAGCAAAATATCAAGCTGTAGAAAAACACAAGATTACACAAGACTCTTTCTGTCAAGTGGAGAAGGGAGAGGGGAGTGAGGGGGGATTAGATCCTAGCCTTGTTAATGAAGAAAAAAAATGTAATTGCTCTAAGTTACACTTCCAGCCCCAACGCAGTTTACAAAAATCCTCAAGTGACCCGTGTTTACTTTGCACAGGAAGGATCAGGCTGACCTTTATGGTTCGGCTCTCTCTAGGGCTTTAAATGCTATGAATTAGGCAGGTTGTTTCCAAATTTAAACCCAGCTGCACAGTTATTAAGAACGCCTTGCAATCTGGAAGATATGCTCGCTGTGAGAAACCGCTAAGAAAGCGGAAGGCGCAGCCAGGAATGTGTTGTAATAATGCAATTGTTTATAACCTCAGAAATTCCAAGTTATTGGTGGCAGAGGATGACAGATACTGTGACAAGTGCCTGCGTATCATACCCTAATGCCTAGACTACGTGCCACAAACAAGATTCGGAGCCTCAAGACCTACTTTTTGCTTACCCTTTCCTTGCGCTTAAAGCTGAGCTCCAGGCAGTTATATAAGACACAAATGAATGCAGCTTTGTGTTCATTAATAAATTATTAAAAGCAAGCAGTGTAAGTACCTGCACTTGGTATCAGCCTCTGGTAGTCCCTTTACTGCACAGTTTGCACTGAGGGACATAAAGCACAAGAAGCTAATCAGTTGTGCTACAGTGCTCAGGTACTAACAAGGAACATGCTGATAGAAGGAAAGAACAGAGTGACAGAGAACTAATTAGTTTGCTGCTTCTCTTTTCACTGTCCATTCACAGTTTGACAGAAAGACAAGACCTGTGATAGAGTTATGAACTCATAAGTCTGCTGCTTCTCCTATCATTGTCTAGTCACAGGTGCAAGGATATGACCTGTAATTGTTATTTAAGTGTAGCAGAGAAAAATCAGGTCCCCTGCCCTGTGGTGTGTAAATTTTAGAATTGCATGGATGAAGTACAAATATTGGAAAGTAAAACAGCTCCTGTATATGCATTCAATCTGTGTATTTAGCTGTTTGGAGTTCAGCTTTAACTTTTATTAAGTCCACCAGCTATACTTCCTGGCACTGCTTTGCCTCTCGTCTTACCTAATATTTATCTAGACATAATGACAGGAATGCAAACCGGATATGCAACATGAAGTAATTGAATGTATTCATGTTTTTTTATATATTTATAACAATTGTTGTTTTGTTGGGCTTGGGCAGATATGCAGCCTAGAGGTGCCAGGTACAAGGGAAAGAACCTTGAGAGTCCAGTAACCTGAATTCATGTGTTCTGTCAAAGTGACATTAACTGAAAATACAGCAGTGAAAAGTAAAGAACTGCTGCAATAAAACGGAATTTCCGTCAGTAGAACAACGAGCACGCAAATGCTGACAACTTCACCACTACGCGGCCTATTAGCCAAGCCAGATTTATGCTGAACCTTCTACCTTCAGGTTAGAAACATGCAAAGCTACAGTCCCCTTCTCTGTTAAATTAACTTTGTCTTTCCTCGATAATTAAATCTGTTTAATCTGGGGTTGTTACCATATGTATGTGTACAAGAACATCTGTACATTGTTCAAAACTTGTAGCTCTGATGAAAATACAATTAAATGCATTTAGTAACATCCAGAATTTTATTTTTAGTAACCTTAGTAATATCAACGCTTGGAAATTAAAATAGCAGTTGGGACACTGCGACAAGGCAATCAAGACAAAAAACGTGACTGTTCATTCCAGGCTGGCCTGCAGTGTTCATTTAATGCTTGCAGGTACCCAGCATGCAATACCCAGCTTATTCAGGAATAACCAATACATTCTAATGCATAATATTCAATCAGCCTATATATGACTCCCAGACTAAGATCCACCTACGGACCTGCCAAGCTAAAGTACAGAAATATATCCCAGAATGCACTTTGATTAGCCTATGTATGACTCCTAGGCTAAGATCCACCTATAGACCTGCCAAGCTAAAGTATAGAAATATATCCCAGAATGGTCTTTGATTAGCCTATGTATGACTCCCAGGCCATCCACCTATGGACCTGCCAAGCTAAAGCACAGAAATATATCCCAGAATGGTCTTTGATTAGCCTATGTATGACTCCCAGGCTAAGATTCCCCAATAGACCTGCCAAGCTAAAGTACAGAAATATATCCCAGAATGGTCTTTGATTAGCCTATGTATGACTCCCAGGCCATCCACCTATGGACCTGCCAAGCTAAAGCACAGAAATATATCCCAGAATGGTCTTTGATTAGCCTATGTATGACTCCCAGGCCATCCACCTATGGACCTGCCAAGCTAAAGCACAGAAATATATCCCAGAATGGACTCTGATTAGCCTATGTATGACTCCCAGGCTAAGATCCACCTATGGAACTGCCAAGCTAAAGTACAGAAATATATCCCATAGGCTTTGATAAGCCTATGTAGAACAATGAGCAAACACCTACTTAACAGTTGCCTAGCATATAATAATGAAACCTAATAAAACCTAAACTCAAAACAGGACCATTTTCTTCATACAGAATAGAAGAACAAAATACAGACGTTTAATCTATTTTCCTGCGAATAGGGACTCTCAAGCTGCTTATAAATCACATAAAACAAAATATGAAACCAGCGCTTGCCAGGATAGAAATGGAAGATTAGTGGCTGTGGAATTGAACCTGAAGGAGGTTTTGACAGCCAGAAAAGCTTTGGACTGAAACAAGTCCCTGGATCTGATGCTTCTGATTCCACCTCACGTTGGGCTGGTTTATATTTCTTTGGAATGAAGCTCCTTTGCCATGTAGAAGAATAAAAACCAAATTAAAGGCCTTTTTCCCAGCAGTAGTCCATGTGCGTGCTTCTCAGCGGGGAGCAAAAGCCGGACTTGTCAAAGGTGAAATGCTCATTTTCTCGAGACCTCAGAACCCCTTTGCTGCAAACAATTTCATCTCGTCAGACACAAAGCCAGAGATGGTGGAAAACGAAGAAAGATCACAAGCTATTGTATTTGCCTCACGCCGCTTCTTCATCCACAGGAGCTTTTGAAAGAGAAAGAGTTGTAGAACTTTCAGCTGAGAAAAGACGTCAGTCCGGGCTAATCTCTAAAAGTATTTTGGAAGGTGGGGGGAAGGCTGTCTACATGCAGCTGGAAGGACATCAAGATTGCAAAGTCCACTGAGGACCTTACTTCTATAATGAGCCTGCATGGGAACGTCAAACCTCTAGTGGGTTTAGGACAAACAGCATCTTCTACGTCCTGGTGCACGCTTTGCTCCGAGGAAGACCTTGCGTAACTTTTCTCAGGCTTTCTACTCAAATCTCCTCTCTCCACTTCCTCTGTTAAACACGTTACTTTCCGAACTGAAAAGATCATATAGTCAACTTCCTGCCTCTTAAAGGCAAACTATCGTAAGAGTTTAATATGCACTATAAGAGAAAAACTCCTGAAGAAGATACACAATTCACTAAAAATAAAAGCTGGACTCCAGGCAGGTATAAAGGACACAAATGAATGCAGCTGTATTCAGGAATACATCATTAAGGGGCTGATTTATACATCTTTCACCCGGTGTATGGCTGGGTGAATGCCGTTCACATGGCATTACCACCACTAAATAGCACTAAGGATCATATGAATTTTGTATGCCCCTCAGCTCCATCTAGTGGTGGTAATGCCAGTATTAAAGTAGTACTATAACCTAGATGTTTTTTGCCTTAAAAGAGAACTATGAGGTGAGTGATTTCCACTCATCCTCATAGTTAGAGCCGACCTGTGACAAAGAAGCTGTCACAGGTCGGCTCTATCGATTGGGAAGTGAGCAGAAACAATCCCGCCGATCCGCTCACTTCCCGATTGTCTCCCTGCTGTAAGCGGTGACGGATAGTCACCACTCTCCTCAGGGATTCCCCCCTCCTCCACTGACTGGAGTACCAAACAGGGCAGGGGGCGGGCACAGCTGGTTCTGCCTCTAGATAGGAAGGGCCCGCTGTCACACACGCAGCTGGGTGGATCTTGACGGTATTGTCGGGATCCGTCCCGGCTGCGGCGGTCTCAATATACTGCGAGATGTAGCTCCTGATATACTGAGCTTTGGGTCACGGGAGGAGGTTAGTATATGTCCTCCCGTGACCCTAAAGAGAACTATGGAGAAAAACACTTACCCCATACTTCTTCTCCTTTAATGTATTTTCTGTATTAAGGTGAAAAACACCCAGGACCTTTCCATGTTTCCCTGTCCCCCAAACACTTGCCTATGGTCGCTCTTCACCTCCTACGGGTCCAGGAAGATATTCAGGGTTCCCCAAACTTCCTGTGGGGGGGGGGGAGGAGGGGCTTGGGGGGACGGGACGGTACTGAGGGCCTCCATTTTCACAGCTCTTCACTGTGCAGCCACTAGAGGGAGCCAAGGAGCACAGGATTCCAATGCTGCTCTGCTCCATCTAGTGGCTATGCAGTGCTGTGAATCTTGTTCGCACAGCGAAGAACTATGGGAACGGTTTATAAAATCAACCGCTTGGTGTTAGCGTCTTGCAATCCACTCTACAGCACAGCTCAGAGAGAGAAATAAGCAGCACAAGGAGCCAATCAGTTGTGCTGCGGTGATCATGTGCTAACAAGGCACGTTCTGATACAAGGA